GAGAGTCGCGCTTTATGACGGATATATCGCGCTATTTATCAGCAAATTATTCGCTTATTTCGTATCGTTTAAATAGTATGACATTTAATCTCTGATATCACAATTGTGATTATATAATCAATCCTACTTTCGACATTTGCATATGTGTAATTAAACTGTATTCATTGTATATCATGTAGATAACAGTATTAACGTGATGATATCAACTTTCAGAAAAGAAAAAGGATTACCTGGTAAATTTTAAATAATTATTTATTAATAATGCATTTTTTAAATGCACATTTCCTAATCTAATGATTTAACCGTAAAATATTTCGTACTATTCTAATCATGTTAGTTTTTGTATGCTTAAATTTGTGTGCTCTGAATAATTGTTTTTGCAATTAAAATTTAATATTAACTGCAATAAAATGTGAGGTTTAAATTATATGCATAAATTAGTTATATGATAAATAAGCCAATATGTATATTATTATCTCTTTACCTTGTTTGGAAATCTTAAGTTTATTAAAACATTACCAAAGATTTATAATTTGATATTTAATTACCACAAATAATTAATCACAATCAAAAATTATGAATTTAAAATTGAAATAAATTTACTAATATCAAGTTTAGCAGACTTGTTATTAAATTTTTCATTTTGATTATTATAAATTTGAATATATTTTCTGAATAATATGTACACACACACACACACACATATGTATTTAATATTATTTATATCTCGCAATTAAAGTCTAAACTGTGACATTTAAATTTTCCAAGATAGGTGCCTAATCGAGTGCTAATCACGATTTCTCGTCGATTTAAATGTAATACCGAAGGGAGTTTACTGTAAACACGCGTTAATTTCCCGTGGGCTAACGAAATTATTTTTGCCCAATCACGGTGGCGTGTATTGTCGATTAATACAGGCACGTCGCTGGGCAAATTGCGTTATTACGTTCGATAAAATTGGCGATTCTGTACTTCGAAAGCTATTCTCGCGGCGAGCAAACTTAGCCGATCGCGAGTATCGATGCCATAATAACGTATTCCAGCAAATAGTTCCCATTTTTGTTATCCAAATATTAAATTAAAAGTATGAAAAGTCAAGTGCTGATATTTACACATGATACAATAAGCTATTATCACAGCTTGAATGACAAAGAACAAGCCGTGGTAAAATCGTAAATTTTTATTACGAAATTAAGTTTGCACGATAAATATTCGATTGGGTCAATCGGGACATTTGTGGAAGTTTTAATCGAAACCGATTGAAGTATTCTTCTCTCTCCTTTTTCGAGTAATATAAATTGCACCACAAATTTACCGGCTGATGTTTCCTCTTGATCGAACCGACATTTATTTTGACATTTCGTTACAAATTGCATGGAAATGTACGTGAAAAGTCTGTACATGTTGAACGCAATTAACATAAAAATTTTATGATCAAAAACATATTTTGTAACGCATTTTCATCAATATTTTAACGGAAAGAACGTGTCGAAAACATGTTATCGCGTCAAATGTACATTATCCCACATGACATCAAAAATAAAAGTGTCACTTTTGACCAATAAAACTTTCATTCGTTTATTTCGCGACCAATTTAGTGTTAAACGCGGCTACCTAATCTAAAATGTGCACATATAACATCGCGACATCGTGTTTGCGACATGTACACGCACGTTATACGAGCAAAAGCTCGCATATCGGACCTATCTCGACCATGCACATGTTACGGGACTTTGTATATTTGTCATTCGATCGTAATAAACGACAACGAGGTGCATACGTTGACGGCGATTTACTTCCAACGCGAACAATGTGCTCGGGTTAACCGTCGAGAGCCCTGCGAACACGCGCATCGTCGACTTTATCCTTGGACAACGCCTCACTTTCGAGTGGACGACGAGGGGCAGGGATGTTGTAGCGGACCGCGAATGAAATATCGTGAAATCGCCGAAGAGAAACGAGTCGAGAAGAGAGAATACTCGAGAACGAAGGGGTAAAAAGGCGAGAAGAATGGCCGGTCGCGGCACGAAGGGTCGGATTCCTTCTTTAGGATGTGATTTACGTTCTTTCGTATTATCGGTCGCGTATCACAATAACGATGTTGTCACGGGGGGAGACATGAAGCATGTGTCGGACGGTTGGTAAATGCGTATAATTTGGAACATGTAATTATTTTATAATAATCATTTCAAATTAATAGCGTCAAATTAATAGTCTCTTATGCTTTAAATACAATGGCTAATAATTTGATCGCTCGATAATAAAAATACGAGGCGATATGTATTATTACAACTTGCACGATTGCAGTGGTTTTTTTATCTAGATTATTTTATCAATTATCAGATATTTTTCCATTGATTTAATTTCAGAAAGGAATACTATTCTCGTTATCTTATTTTTCGATAGAAATTTCATAACCAGCGCAATGAGAGAAAACGTCGCGTGACAAACGAGCATTGAGTCCGCGAATCAGAAATTGATCTGGAGATGGAATTAATCACTAGAACTGTCATGCTTACACTCGCGGAAACGCGAGAGGTTGGATATGGTATAGGTAGAACTGGAGCAGGATTTCAATTTGAATAGTTCGGTACGCTTTTTGCCCGATTTTTTGTTGCGCATGCTGCAGGTGCAACGAATATATATGTTGCTCCGCCGATCATCGGTGATTGAAATACGCCTTTGTTGGAAAATTACATCTCTGTGCCGCCGACTCCTCATCGAATTACAAGCGATAATAATCTCTTTGTGCGATAAAATAAAATTCTTTCTACGCAAACTCGTTAAAATATTATAACAAAATTCTCCCGATAAAATTTTTATAGTGACGCAATCTATATTTTATATTAAAACACGCCAGTTTTAATCATTAATAGCTTACACTTACAATTTTAATATTTATTATATTTATTATTTTAATATTTATGCTAGTTTAAAATTAAGTTTAAAATTAAAAGACATTGAGCATATGATATTTCTTCGAAATCTGCGCATTTTATTATATACATATTACATCACGATGTGACTCAGAAGTTAGTAATTAATAATAAATGTTTCTATCATGTGTCGTCGTAAAATATTCAATGTTTGAAAGGTCACATCGTTTTTCTTGTAATTGATTAAAAAACTTGCTCCAAACCGAGCTCATTTGATCGTCCTGTCAGGCGTAGAAAAATTTGCATAAAGAATCGCGCTTTTTTATTGAAGTTTATTGAGATTCTAGAGATCGGAACGTTATATAATATATAATATATTCATTTCGTCGTCACTGGATAAAAAAAGTCGGCGCGTACGCGAGATACAATTATCAGATGTAAAGAAATATATGTGTCGCGAAAAATTCATGTTGAAAGGCACATCGTTTTTCTTGTAATTGATTAAGAAAAACTTGCTCCAAACCGAGCTCATTTGATCGTCCTGGTCAAAGGCGTAGAAAAATTTGCATAAAGAATCGCGCTTTTTTATTGAAGTTTATTAGATCTAGAATCGAACGTATATAATAAATATACTGGAAGTGATTTTTATTCAATTTCGTCGTCACTGATAAAAAAAGTCGGCGCGTACGCGAGATACAATTTTCAGGATGTGGAAAGGCGCACGTCGGAACATCGTGCCGCGTCGCGGTGATTTGAATAGCGCGGTTGTATAGAATGTTTTTCACCTTTCTCTTCTCCTCTTTTTTAGTTTCAAAACAGTTCATCACGTCAATATCGAACGCACAAGCGCGCGTTCGTAAGCGGAATATATCTTCGTCAAAGTCGCGACCAAAAAAACGAGTTCAAAGAGCAACGCGGTGTGTCAGGACTTTCCTACCACCTCGTGGCTTTCATCACCAGTGATGGCGCGGATATCGAATTAATTCATTATTCCGATCGAATTATGAGAGAGGCACCGCGGTACATACATATAATGCGTATACGAAAATTTAGACTGTAAATGTGACATGGAAATTAAGCGATAAGGAAGCATTTATTATGGAAAACGGTCCTCGATTTTTTAATACGTTTCTACTTTTGTCTCTTTTTTTCTCTCCGTTTCTACAAATCATGAAATAAAATATATTTATACAATTTTCAACCGATAAATCATTATATATATAGTGACAATTACACAGTTGTTTGAATATTTTATGAGGCCGTGCCTAATTTAGTACGGATTCTATTATCGTGCTTATTCTCTTTGATTCATGAATCAAAGTACATTATGTATAAAGCTCGATTTCCACGTATTAAGTTACTTTTAGGCACTTTTGACTTCATTTGGCGTTAATGCAACTGAAATTTTCACGAGAATTTAAAAAGTATAATCCGTAAGCTAAAATTCGAATTTTAAAATAGTCGCAAGAACTTTATCATGAAGCTTTTTCAGGAAACACATCTAGAAATAGTCGCATTTGCTTTATAGTTTCTATCATTAGTTTCTATCATCTTTCAAAATTAGTTTTTCCTTTTGGATGATATTTCCCAAATAATTAATCATTTCAATCAAGCAAACGCTGATTTGTGTAAGTTAAAAATTAATACAAAAAAATATTTATCAATGAAAAAAAATTATTCTTAAAAAATATTCACAATTTTAGTAGTCTTAACATCGATCTACTGCACATTCTTTCTCACGTAATATATTTATTAAAAGTGAAACGTACAAATTTTCCGGCAATCGATATATATGATATTCTAATTTTTTGGAATTTAATAAAAAAAACTGCAAGTAATGGAAAAAGTACCGAATGAAAGTACTCTTTTTTTTATCAGAAAAAGAGAGAAAGAGACTGACAGATTTCATCTCAGTGTATATATATTTTCCATTCTTGATCCTGCCTTCACAGAGTACATATGCAATATACATATACATTAATACTCTAACACGCAGCCCCGGTCGTTGACAATCTTTGCATGTTCTCTCTCTCTTTATTCCGATTTTTCCTCATCTCTATTTCCGACTCTGTATCCGATTCCCATTGGAATACAAAGCGACATTACATAAAAAATTAAATACAGGTTTCGTTTTTCGTGCCGACCGCTAAGCAGTGATTAATGAACTGAATCCATTGAATTCAAGCCGATTGACGGAAAATCGGCTAATAGTGAGAATTGAGACTGCAGAAAGGAGGAAAGAAAAAGTGATAACGAGAGAAAAAAAGAAAAAAAAAGAAGTGATTTTATTCCTGTTTGAGTGCAGACCATTCGAGACGAAAACTCGAGGACCATGACGGAGGGCGAACCCAACGTGAGTGTAAGTTATAAACTTTTTGTTTTGTTCCTTTTATGTTTTTTTGGACTAAAGAGTCTTTTGACGCGTGTCATAAAATAGCGTTTAGAAAATTAGTAATAGTTTTGTAATGTATGTGGCACCAAGTCTGTATTATATGCTAGTCTTTTAAGATAAAGAAACTTCTGAAGTCTGTTACAGAAGATAAAATATATTTACACTCTCTACGTCATATAATTCGACAATTTAATTTTCTATGCTTTAAATACGCGAAAAACGTGATAAAATATCGCCAATGAGAATATGAGTCATTTTTCATTGTATATATACCATTATGAATAAAAATTAACTTTGACAGAAATATTCATGCATCAAAAATAACTTAACATTATTCTATATTTTAATTTGTATTTTGTAATATTGTGTACCAAAATATTCACAAAATTATATTTTATACCATAAAGCATTACTATTTGATTATAACGAAAGCGTAGTACATGAAATTTGTCTAATGAAATTAAAAATTATAATTACAAACAATACCTTATATATAGATAAAAATGTTAATTTTCATATAAAAGACTGAAAATATTTCTGACAAAAGTTAATATTTAAAAAGAAGGAAAACATCCATTTATTTTGAAACTATCATAAAATTTCAACATTTCCATAATAATTTTCTTTGTAAAATTAACTATGCAACGCACACATAAAATTTAAAAAAACTAAATATTAATGTAAAATAAAAATATAATAATTAAAATGGAAAAATTGAAAATTAAATATTAAAGTGAAATAAAATTTCCATCCAACGTTTCAACATTTCTCGCGTAATTTTAATTATAAATTTAATAAAAACCTATTTTACACGATAAATATTTTATAAAATTCTGTTTTCTATATATATAATATCAATGTAATAAATATTTTAAGTTTGTAAAACACCGAGATTGTACTGCTCAAGTTTTAATTATTTTATTGTCACAGTTTTAATATTTTTCAAATGAGAACATGTACTTCTATACTGCTTGATATTTCAATTTTTAACTGTGTTCTATAGTTCTATAGATATGAATCGATTCAGAAACGTGACGTAAAATTGCGATGTGGTGATTTTTAACGAATGCTATATATACATACGAAAACGAGAAAACTGACGTTCTATTGGAAACGTACGTAGTTTTCTCAATGATGGAAATGATATTTCGCAAAATTGACGGGGCGCAAAATTAACGCGATCGATGGGCGAAGGCCGTAAATATGCGCGCAGAATCTGTCAAATACGATCAATTGAACTACATCGAGAACAGATATTTATCAAGTAAGGAAGAGAAGAAGAATCATATATATCGAGCACAGCAGGTGGCTATGCAATTCTTATTTAAAATAACGAGATTTTCAAGGAATATGTTTATTCATCGATTTGTAGGATATCAATTGTATCGCTACAGGACTTCAAACTTTATTTTCTCCTGTCGTAAGTAAAATAATTATATTATATACAGGATAATAAGTGTATAAAAGAAACCATTAATTTTAACTTTTACCGATAAAAATAATATAAAATTTAATTTTAGATATTATATTGTAATTAATATATATGATAAATATATATATATATATATATATATATATATATATATAATTTATATACTTATTTATTTATTATACATATTAATTATATCTTCATTTATTTATTATAGATATATAAGTATTAATTAATATATCTGGTGCGCAAATTTACGACGTTTGCTCATCAATACATTTTTTTAATTAAAAAATTAGAATTGTATTACTGGAGTCACTTTAATAGTAAAATAAAAAATTAATTAATTTAATATAATGCACAATATAAAAGAGATATTATTTCAATCAATCTTTTCTCTCACAATTCAATTAATTTTATTTTATTCCTCTCTAATTTTAATTTTCCAATTCTAATTTTGTAACTTCTAATTTTTCATTTTATTCCTTTCTAATTTTAATTTTCAATAATATTAATTTGCAGCAATGCATGAGAACGATTATTACCCATAAAACGTGTGCCAAAAAAAGTGAGCTCGATGTAATGCGACAAAAAAATATCAAGTTATCAAAGATAGAATAAACTAACGATTGGCTTTATGCCAATGTATATGCAAATGTGCGACGATTAATTGTACTCACCAGTGCCGCTGCACTGTCTTTACGAGCTACTGCATTCCTTTCCTTATCCTTCTGCTCCTTTATTTCATTCCTGCCTCGACTTCTTGCACCAATAATCCGCCTTTTTAAAATACATATATTTATTAATACGAATACGAATCAATCTTGAAAAAATGCAAATCACAATCATAAATTGCGCTAACCTAATACGACGATTGTCCGTTTTCTCTAGGCTGTTCTTGACACTTGTCAGACACGATCGAAAAGATCCAAGAGACCGTAGATAGATAATCAACGCGATACGACTGTTTATCACGCACAAGTCATTCGATTATTTTTTATATATACATTTTAACGAATAAATACATGAAACGCAATTGCACTCTTTCGTTCGACACTCCCGACGTGACTTAAAATATGAAAACTTTAAGCGGCAAATATGAAAACTTCAAGCGCCGAACCGCAGCGTCACATGCGACGCGAGGATAAAGTAGTACATTCTCTTTAACCTATAGTTATATATCTAGTATAGATAGACCGCGCGCCCTCATTGGAAGCAAGCATTAGTGAAAGAGGAAAGAGGTGCTTTCCTTATCCGACTCTCCCCACCAATCAGACAAGGAAAGCATGTCTGTATAATATCTCTTATCAATGCTAGTTTCTTATCTACAAGAGCGTGCAGTCGCATATCTATATATGTTTACGTGATCTATGTATGTTGTGATTGTTGTGTCAAGAATTAATCCCAATTATTACCTCAAATATATCTGATTTAATCCGAAAAATTCAGTGTTGCATGCACGATGCGTATGATTTAGATAATGAAATGGACTTTCACGAAATTTCTCTCCGCTGTTAAACCACAAGACACGCGTCAGATTACGAATGTCAAAGGGAGCTGTGAATCGCGTGTTGCCTAATTCCTGAGACTGACTCGATCGCGCGCGAGACTTCTGGTGAAAACGTGGAGCGATCTCGATGCAACGTCCTATCAGCGCGATGCACTGTGCGATAACATTGACAGGCGACCACGTTAGTGAAAACAAATACCGTCGCGTATACGTATCAGTCTTTAGGCTGAGTAAATTGTCGCAGTTCGATATATGTACATATATATATATGTATTTCTGACAATCTCATATCAATAATCTTGGTCAAACCACCAATAAATGAACAGATTAAAATAAAATTGAAAGATTAAAATAAATCTGTTGCATTAAAAAAAATAAACATAATTAAATATATCCTAGCACATTTTTTTATTAAATATCTCGTTGGAATACTGTTAAATATATTTTTTATCCTTTTATCTCTGTTTATTTTCTCATGGGTGCACTGATTTATATAATATTTAATTCTGGAAAAATATAGGAAGGCAAAAAATACAGACTCAAATTGGAACAACGTATAATATTCGCCTGAGTAAAATAAAAAAACAAATAAAGATCCCAAATTCTAAAATATACTTGAAAAAGAAAGAAAGAAAAAGAAGTGCACACATATTTAAATATTAAAATTTAAAAATTTTTCCCACACACAACTTTGCATATATTTCTATAAATATTAATTTATTTTTATTCCACGTAAATATAAATCTATATCTTGTTTTAATCTCCGTCATTTATTATGGAAATTATGGAAATATTTAAATAAAAAGTTTTAAAAATATTAATATTTTAAAGATATTAATACTTTCCTCATTACAATTTTATTTTATTTCTTTTATTCTCAGTTTTTAATATTTATTTAAATGATAACGTTAGAAATTTATTTTATTATAATGCATACTTGAAACTGAAATTACTCAAATGTGTGTGATAATATAGTAAAAATAAAAGGATAAAAAATATATAGTATATTTTCATATAACTAGTATTTTTAATTATGTGCCTTAAAAATCTTACCTATGGACAAAAAGTATGAAAGTATAATGACACCTTTATTTCTTTAGATTTGTGTGGGTTTGTATATGAAAAACAATTTTTCATAGATATCCAAGATTATTATTAAATATCTGTAATCTGTATACTAATCTTTTCTATCCTATTTATTTTAAGACAATGAAGTTGTAAAATATGAAATATTCATCTATAATATTCTTATATTTTTAACTTGAATAACTACTAGAGCAAATCACGATTTCAATATTTTACAATTACATTTGATAATAAATACCAATTTTATACATTAATACTTTTCGAGAAAAGATTTTTGATTTTTTTCGTTTTTTTTTATTACTTTTTGTCCCATAGGTACATTTTATACTTATATTTTATATAGCTCTTCACAAATCCATTAGCTTCAAAATTGAAATAGAAAATAATTTAGATTTATCGACATATGCACAGAGCATGTGTAGTACAGCCATATAAATATAATTAATCACACATGCAAATATATTTATATTACAGCAATATAATAAACATTTCGAAAAATTATGCGCAAATAAAATTTTTCGTTCTACTAAATCTCTAAAATATATAATAATAAATAAGGCTTTAATTAAACTTTATTAAAAAATGTTAGCTATTAATATATTTGCGACATGTATAGTAAAAAAAGGATCAGGTTAAACTTACCCCGTGGTTGTTCCATCGTTGTCCGATATCCTCCTGGATCCCCTCCTCCTCTGTCTCGTTGCTGCTTCCTCGTGGCACTCGACACTTACACTCGCGTAAACACACGGTTAATTATGATTATGCGCGTACTAATTACCCCGATATGACGATCGCACAGTCCTTTACACGGCACTCCCCTTAATCGCAGAAAAACGCGCCCTCGGTGACGTCACGCTGGAAAAACCCACTCTCTCTCTCTTTCTCTCTGACTCAGAAACTTGGCCCCATTCGAGACCACGATTCGTTTGGCACTCGCAATAT